ATATTATGAATACTTTAAAGGGTCGGATATGTCTCTTTCACTGCGTTGCAAGCTTCTAATTAAAATTATAATACAAGATAATAAAATAAATAACAAATTATTAAATACATATGTACACAAAGCATTCGAATTATTTAGCACGGTGTGTTTTTTTTCTGAAATTAATATTTACTGAAAAAATAATGTTTAAAATATTTTACTCATATTACTGATCTACTGAATTTATTTTATCAAAACAACAAAAGTCAGCATCCTTATTTGGTCTGTACCATTAATTCATCAACGTCTCATCAACAGTCAAGGCGGTGTTGACTCATTGATGATTCATCAACAATTTATTAACAATTCATCGATGATTCATCAACAATTAATCAACGATTCATCAACATGTCATCAACATTTTAGTTCGAAATAATTTGTTTGGCGTTTTTTTTTGTTTTGATCTTAAAAAATATAATTTAGGTTGTAATTTGTAATGTAATTTTTTAGTTTGTTAGTTTTCCCCCACATAAAACACTTAATTCCACTGTTTTCCATATAATTCCACTGTTTTTAATATAGTTTAGCTAAATTCCATAAATTCCACTATTCCACTATACATTTACATTTGTACCAAAAACTCTGCGAAAAAGGAATTTCATAATTTAACCTTTTATCAGACAAAATACATATATTAATCCTAACTTCTTCAAAAAAAAAACGCAAATCTAAAAAAACCAACCCCGCTTATTATTGAGATAGGGAGAGTGCAAGAGAATCTATATGCTGATTTTAAGCGCGAGGGAGTCGGGCTTGGCACGATCGCCGCCTGAGAGCGTCGGCTCGGTAGAAGTAGAGTCGGCGCGTTGATGACAGTGGCCTATTGATGACATGTGGTACTGCAGGGATATATATACTTGGCTATTTATACTTTCCTATATATGTACATACATATGTACATATGTACTTTGCATTTGCTGTTGGTAAAAGTTCACCAGGCTAGGTAAAAAATTAGCAGAACTTTCAAGCTGGCATTGTTTTTTTCTCTACGTTTAGTCATTTACTAACAGATTCTTACAAATTATATAAATTTTCACACCGGATATATGTACATACATAATAAGAACTGAGCATTCTGATATAGAGATTGTTTCCCTAAAAGTTGCCGTTCGGTTCTGTAAAAAATAATACCAAGAGTCTGTATTTAATAGTATTTGTTAATTGATAAAGTATATTATTTGTGAAGTTGTTAAATCCCAGAGAAAAACGAATACTTTTTATCTGAATGATTTTTTAAAATTAAATTAGTTAACAATTTGAATTAATTTTTGGCCCAAAACGAAGCATTAAAAAAATAAATACTATTAATAATATTTAATAAATTTAACATTTGCAACATTGTTCTAAATATATATGTTAAATACCAAATGAACTTGAAATTCGATAGAATTATTAACTTGATTAATATACAAATTTATATATTTATTTTGTTGTTTATTTTCAAAATTGAAAGTAGAGGTTCTTTTACCATCGAATTTGAGTACCAATCCATAAAAATTGATTGAGAAGTCAACGTTTCTTAGTCTTAGCAAACATGTATTTTGATCCGAATCAATTAAAGAAATCATTTTTAAAAAATTACAAAATGGTTGTACATACGTACGAAGAGAATATTTTTTTACAACAATTTGTACGATTTTACATAATACAACTTCTTATAAAAATGAAGACAAAAAGTATTTACAACGAATATTTTACAATGAGAAAATATTTATATATAGTAAATAAAATAAAACGGAATAAATATTAATTATGAATGGGTAAATAAATATATATTAAAATTATATATATTTACTAAATAAACAAATAAGTAATATATATGACGCATGCAAATAATTATTTATATATTTATCCCAAAACTATACATTTAATAAATTAAGCCGATATATATATATATATATATTTAACAATTAATAAAATATCCATATTGTGTTCCATAGAAATCTATATAATATCTTCAAATGGACATTTCATATATTTATAGGCTTTAAAATGGGCATTAATCATAAAAACGCCGATTTAATGCCGAAACCCTTTCAATTTATATAAGAAATATTTATAAAATATGGTATAAGTACATACACATATGTATATATATATATATATATATATATATATAATATGTATAACTAAAAACTGGTTACATAATAAATTTTTCGGATATAAGTATTACTTTCATTATTTATCAAGTTTAGAAAACGTATTTCCCATTCATGGGTGGAGCTTGACTTATTAAAAAATATTTCTAAATCAGCAAAATACGCTATTTATAATTAGGGGATTCCCTATACGTTAAATCGGCGCTGTATCGCGATATTTAGCCAATATTTTCAGCCGGATAGGGAACGACCCAAAATGCGAGCGACTGAATTCTTAAACTTATTTCAAACATTTTAATGAACAAATTGTAAACAATCAAGGAAAATGGCTCGAAAAATCAATCAAATTGAGTATTTTGAGATATTATTAAGCATTTGCATGTCCGAATTGCTTTTCCAATATTATGGATATGATTGTTTCAAATGAAATTCTTGGATGACCTATTTTTATATTTATGCCTTAAGGGCTTTGCGGTATTGCCTTCCTAAATCAAGCACAAAATCCCTTGAAATTTCTTTTCAATTCATCCTTGCCTGTTAAAAGACGGTGATGTTTTAATTGCAAAAGGTCGGACCAACAATCGGCTGAAAATATTCAATTAATATGATACATTTTTCTAAAAAATTAATTTAAATTGCCGTAAATAATCATAGTTTTGAATTGAATCACATGGGGAAAAGTGCTGCTGTGCCTAACTTACTAAAAAAGAGTAAGCCACACTGACTTTTCAGTAATTCAGTTGATATTTTCAGCGAAGCTGAACTCCTTATACGATAGTTTGTATGGGAATAACTGTATTCAGTTTCCGATATTTTCAGTAATTCAGTCATTTATAGGGTCTTCTCACAGAGATCCATCTTCCTTCATTCATCCGGCTTTAAAATTTATGGTTTTGTTCTCTATCGTTTGGTCATCCGAACTTGATGGACTTGTTTTTTGGGATAGTTCTTCGATGCAACTTACCTCCTTTTTGCCGGTGCAAATTCGATATTTTACTATTTTAAAATTTTTACTTCATTCTAAAAGATTTTGTGGGTCTCCCAATATGTATGTCTTTTGTTGCTGAACCCCCTAAAAAAGTTTTTAAATTATTTTGCAGAAACCACTTAAACCTTTTTTCTTTATATTTTGAATGATTCCAAACTGTTTCACACGGATGAACTGTGTGGAAGTGGGTATATGTCGTATAGGAAATCCCCTAAATAACGTAAGTACCTATCGATACTTTGCGAAACGAATCCAGAATAAGTGTTTATAGTTTATTTCCACAAGCACGAGATACATATTGGTATCGATGTAAATGCAGGAATGTAAAATTAAATCCTTTTCTACGCAGTCCTCCATTCGTTTGATTATTTTGATTATTAGTTTTAGTTTTGGTTTTTAGTTATTTTGATTTTTGACATATGGGCAATTCGCTGGTGTCGAATGCGTCATTCGTACGCATTCGAACTAAAAAAAAACATGCGCCAAGACAACTATAATTTTACAAAATTTTTTATGACTTTTTTTAATAAAAACATTATTTGAATTTGCGCGTGTTTGACATCGATTTTTTGAAATTTATTTTAGATAATGAAAAATGTTCTTAGTCTTGATCAATCTGACCAATTTTTTATGTTTAAAATACTCGTTTTTAAGCAATTTTAAGTTTTTGGCCGCGGTGGACCTTTCTGGAGAATTGCCCATACGTAAAAACTCTCACAGAGCACCATCCGCTATCTAATAACAGCTGATCGAATACCTCAGCATCATCAAAAAGATACGATTGTTACAGTGATTGATTCCTAGTCATTGATTGATTTCAGTCAGAAGTTTGCAACGCAGTGATGGAGGCACCTCCGACCATATCAAGTATATATATTCTTGATCAGCATCAACAGCCGAGTCGATCTAGCCATGTCCGTCTGTCCGATTCTACGCAAATTAGTCTCTCAGTTTTGAAGCTATGAAACTTTTTTGTTAGACTTTTATATACTCTCACTCGTATATATGTCGGAACAGGCCGGATATCATATAGCTGTCATAGGAATGATCGGAAAATTAAAAAAAAAAAAAATTATAACATTTTCATTTTTTAACAGAACTAAATACAAATTTGAGGTACATACATATAGGCATCTTATATTATTCTACAATTTTGTGCACTACAGTTTTATGAAAATCGGACGACTATATACTATAGCTCCCATAGGAACGATCGAGAAATTTATACAATTAAAAATTACAACTTTTTCAGTTTATCAACATATTCACAGATTTTCATCAAATTTGATATATAGCCATTTTATATCATTTCACAATTTCTAGTCATCGAAGTTCTATCTGCAAGGTTATATAAATTTCGGCGTGCTGAAGTTAGCTTCCTTTCTTTTTTTTATATATTTTCAAATTTAAGGTGCCTTTGCAAAATATGAGCAAGATTTTATTTTATTTATTCTATATGAATTGTTGCGAATGTTGTATGTTCTGGTTAGATAAAATACGATAGCATAATGTAAAAACTTGTTTCCAAAAAATTAAAAAAAATGGAAAAATGTTTAATTTTAAAAATGAACCAAGAAACGGTCAATTGCTATGATAAAATTAACTTTTGTCTGCTTCCACTGATTACGCGATGCAATCAAAAAGACTAATCTTTGTCAACTGATGCTCTGTGTCCAATGCAAGTTTGCCAGCATTTCAAACGTTCCACTATTAACTTCAGAGCCAAAATTATTTAATATAAATTTGATAATCCATCTCGTCCAGAAAATTTTTTTTTATATGGTAACTGCTAAACGGCGAACCGCAAACGAGAAATTAGCAGTTAAAGTCAGATGGGAATGTACAAAAATTTACACATATTGTAGTTAGATATATACATTTTCAGTTTAAATAATCTATAATTTTATTCGTAACGATTTCTTCTGTATGCTGTGTATTTTTGTCATTTTGTTTTTCATTTTTTCGAAAACTTAATCATCAAAGCTAGATGAAAGTAAGAAATTTGCAGCTAGTTCTTCATCCTTTTCACACGCGAAGTATGCTTGCAATACAAGTGCCTCTGGGAATCCAAGGGCTTTTAGCTAAGGGAAAAAATTGTGAAAAATTATTAAAATTTAAAATGTAGTTTTTCCAATACTCTTTCTATGGCGCCCTGATCTTGAGGATTTAAGCGAATGGTTGCAACTCCAACTCCTGGTGGCTGTTGTTCTAAGTCTAAGTTCTCCGTTGAATCGGTGGTATTTCCTCCAACAGCCAAGGTTCCTCTTCCTGCTTCTTGCGCGTCTGAAGATGCAAATATATTTGCAATCTGGGCGGGATCACGAGTGCGAGAAACAGTGTCGCCAGAACCAGAGTCTGCTTCGCCATCAATCGGTTGATTTAGCATATTGAGGAACGCATCCTGATTCTCCGATATAAGTTGCAAGAGGGCTGGATTTGTCTGACCAATCTGTAAAAATATCGTGAAAATATCCACAGAGATTATTATAATAAACACTTACCTGCTGTAAAACCGCATGCAAAAGATGGGGATTCTGATAAATTAATGATCGCATTTGAAGAAATTGTGGCTGGCTGCGTAAAAATTCAAACGGATCTACAAAAAATTTGATTATTGTTAAAAAAAGCAATTGTTTACGTTTCTGACCACAATCGTACAGTAATAATACAAAAGTTTTAAGGAAAAAAAAAATTACAGTAAGCTGTTTTCTTTATCAGCACCAACAGCCAAGTCGATCTAGCCATGTCTGACGGTCCGTTTCTACGCAAACTATTCTATCAGTTTCGAAGCTATCTGAATGAAACTTTGCAGTTACTCTTTTATATAATCTCTCTTGTATATTTCATGTAAACCGGACTACTAAATCACATAGCTGTCATAAGAACGAAAAAAAGTAATAAAAACAATAATTATAACTTTAACGTTTTTTTAAATAATTATTAATTATAAAGAAACTTTAACTGTAACTTGAATATAAAAAATTAAAAGGTGAATAAATTGAAAGTAGGCATTACTTCTTTCTTACTTTTCACTTCTTCTATTGCAGGTATAGTTTCCTTTTCTTTCGATATCGATACATAACTCAAATATATCATATTTAGGCCTAAGAAAAGTTAAGGTCGAGTATACTTGGTTATCAACTATTGCTGTTAGCTATCTACACGGTTTATTGATATACATACATATACCAGCGGTGAACTGAGACCACGCTGTGTTTTGTTTTTGGAAGCACCAGCACTTGCTCGTCCTAAACGCTCGTAACTTGCGTTCAGCGATCGAGATGTGCCGATCACTTGTTTACACTATACATAGATGCGTAAGAACGCAGTAGTTGAAAAGACAGTTGACCGTGGGCAACGCTGATAAAGATATGCCTATACCGATGCTGTGATTACCTGAAATCAACTCCGTTGGACGTTCGGCTGTAGATGCTGCCGAGTTATTGCTATGACCCGAAAGTTGAATCAAACTTGGGTTTATCGCTTCATCGTCCTCGGCAGGTATGCCATTTATAAGGTATTCCACGGCACGTTCTGGATTATTAAAGCTGGCAGCCATAGCACGTTCCACTTGCTCTCGTGGATAGCCCATTTCGACCATGGATAGAACAGTTTGATTATATTCATCGCCCATAATTAAATTCGATTCGGCACGTGATTGCAAAGATGCATTTGCCAATTCCCCAATTAAATCAGAATTGGAAATTGGCCTTGGAGGGGGAGCTGCATCGGCAACAGGGGCCGCTTCCGTACTTTGCAAATCTTCAGTATATTTAGTTTCAGATTTTTCAATATTTCCCGCTGTTGCAAGCTCTGAGTCTTTAAGAACTTTGTTTGTGGTGTCAGTTTCCGCTGGTCGAGCTGATGCATCTCGCGTAAGCATCACAACAATAAACTTTTTTTCGTCCACATCGTAAGATTCAATAGTGCGTTCATCAATCAGTATGACACCGGCATAAATAAGTTTTTGCTTTTCAGCAATATACTCGGCACCGCGCTCTTCGTATATCTTCTTCTTTAGTTCCAAAACCTTTAAACAACAAAAAAGTATAGCCAAATTAGTATAACAAATATGTTTAATGGACATTCAATACACATATACAACAAAATGCGTAGATATGTATTTAAAATTAAATTAATAATTAATACATATGTTTATAATTTACAGTTTTACTCTGATCAAACTCTATGGTAAAAGTTTGCTGTTGAAGGTTCTTTACGGTGATTATCATGATTAATTGTCGTCCAATGCCGAAAGAAAAAGGTCAATTATTTGTACATATGTACTATATGTAGTAATTTTAATATTCGTTCACACGTAAAAAGTGACTTGTCATCCAGTGTGACCACATCTTTAATTTGGCAATTATACTTATAATTCAGCTGAAACACACTTTAAATCCAACAATGTAATGTGTACACTACACACACATTTGTCACAACCCGCTTTTTTATGTTTATCAACTATTGTTATTAGCTGTCTAGACGGTTTCTTGATATATGTATGTACATATACCAGCGGTGAACTGAGACCACACTGTGTACAAACGTCAACACAATTTTAACTGTTTGTTTTGTTCTTGGAAGCAACAGCAAGTCGTCCTAAAGATCTATGTCGAGCAAGGATGGACTTATGCATGGTCCTCAGTTCAGCAATGTGGCAAGCGCGGAATTCAGTACCTGAATCGAACGCTGCTCCGTTCAACGTAGAGTTCTGTGCTGAGGTATTTCCATTTCGGGATATTTTTTGAACACGAAGTCCGAAGACATAAAAAAGAAAATCCCCGTAGTTATTTTACATTTTGCTTTTCAAACTACGTAGAATTCATATAAATGAAAATCGTAAAATATTTAGAGAATAGAATCCTATTATTATGAACTTAATATTATATTTTCGAGAGTTTGTATACTTTTTATGTAGTATTATTTTGTTATCTTATGTATCCACAGTTATTGATTTATTTTAATTTTGTTGGTCAATCTTTAACAGAAACAAAATTTGTTTAAAATAAATTCATTTAATTAACAAATTAAAAAATACATTAAGAAAAAGTTTGCCTCAAGCGGGATTTGAACTCGCACTAGCCTGTTTGGAAGGCGGGTGCTCTAACCCCTGAGCCACGCGTCACGATTGCCTCGCGACCGCAAAGTCAAAGTCACGTTGTTGTCCCTCGCACACGCGATATGCACATGTATGTATATCGCCGACGCAATTTTAGTTGTGTACGTGGAGCGATGTGTTAGCGGCCGGACTGGTAAATATTTAGACGTAGTTTCAATCCCCAGTTGGCCGTATAATATTCTAAAAAAGTTTCTGAGTATGGTCGAAAATGATTTAATACAACTAACAATTTAATTTAGACAAATGAAAAAAATTAGCTTCACCATGAATTACCTCACTGAGCGCTCAAGGTGAATTTGATCTTAAGTCGAGCAGCGACGTCGGCATCATGAATTACCCCGGCCACGCATAAATAACAGCGAATGATAACATTACCTAAACGGTGCCTCCTACCCACCGATCGGGTTCGCATGAAAATCAGCCAAAATTTGGCTAAAAAATCCGACTGCTCATTTGGCAGCGAGCGAAGCTCGGGAACACGGAAGCGACTGGGAATACAGAGGTGCAGAAAGCGGCAGGACGTAGATTCGCTCGAGGGTCAGGGCGCGAAGTGTCGACATACGGGAGCGCAAGAGCAGCTTTTGGAACCTCCGTGGACAGAGACGGCGCAGCGGCCGACGCAGAGGGCCTCCTAACATAAAGATATGATACTGTTTATACTGTTTTCCCACAAAGTTCATTCGTGTATAACAGTTGGGAAACAGAACTTCACCCCCATCATCCATATGACAAACGCTAATCGAACAGCTGAAAATCATTCAAAACAAAATTAAAGCTAGTTAAAGGGGCTTCTGGGGAAACAGATACAAACTATTTTGGACTGTTCAAGAACAGAAAACATGCAGATTGCGACAGAATATGTTGGCACTATATTAAAAAGAATGAGATGACCAGGAATTGGAAATTATCGAATAATTTTTATTTCCTGTGTTCTTTAGAAGCAGGTTGGTGAAAATCCACCAGATCAACAACCAGGCGAGTGGTTGGAAAACAAACCACTTTTCCGTAAGGACGAAGAAAGGAATACAACCGAACAAGCATCGGGAGCACTTACATAAGTTCTCTGAGCAGTGCGCGAAGAGCCGACATGAGGGAGTGCAAGAGCTGCTTTTGAAAGCTCTGTGGACAGAGGCTACGCAGCGGCCGCCCCGACGGACCTCCTGACGTGAACATTCGCCCCTCTCTTGCAATTACTCGGGCTGCAACATATTGGTCCCTTTAACAAGACGCTGCAGAAGGGATGAAGGGATCGAAGCGACTGCCGCCTAGGGAGACTTCGACGTCCGTTGCAGATGACGTTCAGGGCAAAATCCGCTTTGGTTGGATTGGACCTCAGGTTCGTCTGCCCTCCAGAGCTTTGCGCGAAGCGGCGACATCTTTTCGAAGAGTGGAAAAAATATAATATAAATATTAGAAGAGCGGTCAGTAAATAGCGTGAGTTAGGAATACGGAGGGACCCAATGTTGTAATCGGAGTGCGGGAACTGAACTTCCAGGCATATGCAGGAGCGTGTGGTGATGCTGATTGCACGTCTTGCATCGGCCACCACTGCGGCACTTGCCTTGGGAATGCTCGTGTGCCAAACAGTTGTAACAGCAGTGGTTAGTGGACACCGCGCTGATCGTCTTTTCAGCACTAAGCCTGATTTCGAAGCGAATGGATTTAATTATGGACGTTGATGCACTAAGGCCAGTACATTCAAGTGTCCCGTATGAACGTGCCTGTTTGGGTTAGGTGTTAGTATTCGCGATGGAAAATATAGGACAGAATACGAGGAAATTGACTACCGCCGTGATGCCATATTGTTAGCTTGCATGCTTACTAAGTTTAATTTGGGAAGGGTATCTACGTTAGATAATTATATAATTTGCACATAACACTCTAAAAGGTTCATGATGTTCAAAGGAGGTTCTACAGTGGCGCAACACTAATGGGATATAGGATCTAGTAGTTCTACATGGTACATGGAAATTAAGCTGACTCAACAAGTCAGCACTTTCCACATCACCATGTATAAGGTTAAAAATAAAGGTTATCCCTAGCATCGTTCTACGATTGGCTAAGGACGGCAAGTTTATTAATAGGAGTCTACTAGAGTAGGAAGGTAATCTTTGGTTTGCATCCCAATTTAAACCGACTCAATGCGTTTACTATGGACACCTTACTGAGGGCTCCAAACGCAGCATCCATATTCTAGGATAGGACGAACTAAGGAAGTATATAAGGATTTAGTAACATAGGGGTCATTGAATTCCTTCGACCACCGTTTAATAAATCTAAGCACACCCCTGGCTCTATTCACCATAGACGAAATATGATCAATAAAGTCAAGTTTTGGGTCCAAGCGGACACCCAAATCGTCAACAGTATTAGTTTTTTCCAAAGAGCAGCAGTTCAGCGTGTAAGTAGCAAGCTTAGGAACGACACCAGATATTGTCATTAGCTTGCATTTCGAGCCATTTAAGTTTAATAAGTTTACACCGCACCAACTTGGAAAATTATTAAGATCTGTTTGTAAATCCGACTGGCAGGCGACGTCATTGTATTGCACACAAAGCTTGACGTCATCCGCGTACATAATCACTCTGGAGTTAGTCAAGACTTTTGGCAGGTCATTTATAAATAATGTAAAAAATAAGGGTCCCAAATGGCTTCCTTGCGGGACGCCAGAACATTGGATAAATTATTCTTAAAGAGGACCTTTTGCGTCCTGCCATTCAAATAACTAGAGATCCAATTAAGAAGATCACTTGGAAAACCCATTGAATCGAGTTATCTAACGAGGAGATTACATCTGTCTGACAATTATTATGGAAGCCCTTTATAATATAGAAAGAGAGCTCCAAAAGATTTGTTGTTGTTGATCTTCGCTTAATAAAACCATGTTGACATGGAGAAATACCCGATCTACAAAGGTGCTGTAAGTGAGGGGTGATAATGTTTTCAAATAATTTAGGGATGGCCGACAACTTAGAGATTCCTCTATAATTGCTGGCATCCAATTTGCAACCTTTTTTGTGGAGAGGAATAATAAACAATTCCTTCTAAATAATGGCAAGTGGGAGGTTTCTAAGGATGATAAGGATAAAACGTTTCAGAAGAGGATAGCACAGGGCGTCGGCACAATACCTGAGCACACAGCCAGGAATTCCGTCGGGACCTGGCGAATAAACTGGCTTGACACAATGAAGATCTAAAAGAAGAGAGCTTTCGTTTAGGATAGGACAGAAAATTAAGTTTGATTTGGGTATGTCGTAGGAATAAGTCTGGTGTAAATACGAAGAGCTTGGATAGGTTGTTTGAAAAAACTGCGAAAATAGATCGGGTATTGCCTGATCATTATTTGCGATAGGAAGGATTTGTTTTAGGCTTACGTTTAGTGTTAACGAAATTATAAAACATTTTTGGGTCCTGTGAGAACTGGGCCCTACAACGAGTTAAATAGTTTTTATAACACTGCGCGTTCAGCACGGTAAAGTTTGACCGAGCTGATAAATAAGATGAAAGGGCAGATTGAGAACCGGTGATTTTAAATTTAGCATACAGTCTAGATTTTTTATTTTTAAGTCGGCTCAACTCTTTAGTAAACCACAGCGGTTTATTCGAGCTTGGCAGATAATATAACGAAACACATTCAGTAAAAAATGATTTCATGGCACTGCAGACTCGGCAGCGGTAAGAGTGAGTGCCTGTGGAACGGCTGCTTTTGATGCCGTCGTATGGGACCCAGTAATAGACGGAATCGGGAGAAGTTACAACTCGAGCGGGGAACGACGAAATCCCTTGGATCGGAATTTTTCGAACAATATCTGAATACGGTCATTACGAGGAAACGGGGACATATAGGCACGGGGTGGGTTTTCCTGGAACACAGGTCACACCATCTGGGTGCCTGACTTCGGAAGAATGGAGGCGGTGCTTTGGGACGCATGTAGTCGGCGATCTTGGCTGAAAATGCCCTGAGCCGGTAGGCGTGACGCCGTCGATGGCCTTCAGCGTACGATGGCGCTCGGTCAGAAACGCGTCCAGCTCGTCGTAAGTTAGAAACAATGGCGGGCGCATCGCAACTTGTTTTGGATAGTATGTTGAACAATTTCTCCATCGGGGTGAGACGCGAGTTGTGAATATATATCGCAGTAAAAAGGTCTCTGAATGTGGGATACCGAAGATAGCGAAAACTTTGGTGTCCACCGGTGGCAGACGACAAACCGCAGAAGGGGGTGGTTGAAAATTGTCGAAAGTCTGAGTTGACTGGGTGGCGCCCTTGTATATTTCTTGAAGTTGGGCAACACATCTTGAATACACGGAATGGAAATCGTTGTATTTGGATTCAAGCACTATCGCGGTGGCCGTACTATCAGCGGACACGGAAAGAAGAAGCAGCTCTCGTAGCTCTTTTCCACATTTTCCCAAAAGACATGGCTTATGTAGGGAGAATATTTTGCAGATTGGGAAGTGGCTGAAGTGTGAATGTGTGCCTTAAAGTGATTTACCCGGTCAGTTGTGACAATAAACTTCTTAAGGCAATGTCAACTGCGGTTGGAACAAGGGAGTCTCGTAGAAGTATTCACGGATTTCTGGCTAATTGCGGTATTGGGCCTCGAAATTCGCTGGGTCAGCGGCGGAGATGCGGATTGGGAATACGGTTAAACTAAGCCCGGTGGAGAGATTTGGGCAAGAGGCAAGTATGGTCTCTTTTTCTCTTACGGGACTAAATTTTTAGTAAACAAAAAAATTGTTTTTTATTTTAGAATATATATAAATATAGATGGTAGTTCAGTAGGAAGGAAAGTATTAGTCGGAAGTCAAATTTATTTAATACAAAGCCGAAATGGTGGAAAAAGCCCTTGGCTTTTGTTCGGAAGAAAAAAAACTCGGCTAAGTTGAAAAAATTGGGAAAAAATTATGGATCTAAATATTTGTTAATTTAGAAAATTTTCAGACGCAGATGTTTAATTATTTCAGCGCCGGAAAGGTGGAATTTAAAAACATCCGTTTTTGGTCTCTGATTATGCCGACGGCCAGCGGTTCCTATGTGTGGGAACCAAAGAACTAAAAGGCAATAATAACAATACAGTTGAAAACAATTAAAAACACTCGTGTTTGCGTTTAGGTTTCGTTAGTGATTGTTTGAATTTTAAAATTATATTATCGGGATCAGAGAAATCGGAGGAAGAAAATATATTACAAAATATATGTATAAGGGCATGTATTGGCACAGAGAAGCGTCGAGAAGCGGACTGTATCGAATTGCGTAAACATAAAAATGTGTATGGATACAGCATAAAAAAATTTAGAAAAAATATTGCGGCAACGGCGGACTGATCGGCGAACAGGGTGAATTCCTGAAACATGCGGACACCGACTGACCGATATTAAAAATGCCTTTTTTCCGTAACACAATTTTAATGCTCACGGAGAATTTTTCTGCACGGAAATATGTGCACAAGCTTAGAATGGGTTTTTGTGTAGGTGGCTGGACATAGGCCTCGACCCTTGGGAAGTGAATGGACAATGGGAACCTAAATAAATGGCTAGAAGTTTGGCGGCGCACACAAAACGGACAAGGATAGAAATTTTGATGATCGGAGACGAAGAGAAATATGAAATTATCAACTGCCGTTGTGTCAGAACAACTTGGATTTTAAGCTTACACGAAGAAAAAACAATTAATCTTCCAACAGTGCGACCGAAAAATGCAGCAAGAACGAGACGAAAGAAAGCTTTAGCGGAAAAATCACCAAGAAATGCCGGTGAGAGGACGGAAGAATACCCGAATCCGGCTCGAGAGACCAAATATGTGTGTGTGTGGGGGGAATCCTGCCGCTAAAGATCCTTGGGGTGAAGCGAAACATCCCACGTAGCGAAACGAAAAATTATCCCGTCGGGGTCTGAAAGAAAAAAGTCGGGGCGTCGTTGGGCTCGCTTCAGTGTGTCAGCTTTATTTCGGTGCATAAAAAGTACTCAATAGTTTAAACATACGGGCCGCGCTCCCGACTGATAAGCTAAGCTTAACAGTTCGGGGGCGGGCCCGAGAAGTGAAGATTAGATTAGAGTAGTTGGCCGTTCTTTTGGTGGACAGAGACGGCGCAGCGGCCGCCGCCTGACGTAAACAATATGTACTGCTTATATACGGCACTGGATAGAAAAAGCGCTAAAAAAAAAACAAATTGAAAAACACCTCTCATTTTTAGGTGCGGTGGTTTGAGACGCTAGTCTACAAAATAAATTGGTTGTGTGCAAAGTACTTGAACTTGCGGTGAGTTCATGCAGATCTCTGCACTTCAACTTACGAGCCCGTTACCCAATGCAATCTTTCGCTTCAATGCAATAACCTCAGTGTATAGTTGTGCCCCCCCTTGTATAACTAACAAGAGGTCATTGCAAGAGGGATTCCCAGGCAGGAACAAAAGCGTATTGAATAAATTCTGCCTTTATAATTCAAATATGCCTATGTACATGCGTGTGTGTGTAGGCAATTATACATAACGCTGGACCGGCTGTGTGGGTTCAGCGGCGTTCCCAAATGCAGATCTTTCTTTCTCTCCATCCGTTCTCCATCTCTCCATCGTATGCACTGTCCAATCAATATCAATCATCAATCAATATCAATATCAATATCAATATCAATATCAATATCAATATCAATATCAATATCAATATCAATATCAATATCAATATCAATATCAATATCAATATCAATATCAATATCAATATCAATATCAATATCAATATCAATATCAATATCAATATCAATATCAATATCAATATCAATATCAATATCAATATCAATATCAATATCAATATCAATATCAATATCAATATCATATCAATATCAATATCAATATCAATATCAATATCAATATCAATATCAATATCAATATCAATATCAATATCAATATCAATATCAATATCAATATCAATATCAATATCAATATCAATATCAATATCAATATCAATATCAATATCAATATCAATATCAATATCAATATCAATATCAATATCAATATCAATATCAATATCAATATCAATATCAATATCAATATCAATATCAATATCAATATCAATATCAATATCAATATCAATATCAATATCAATATCAATATCAATATCAATATCAATATCAATATCAATATCAATATCAATATCAATATCAATATCAATATCAATATCAATATCAATATCAATATCAATATCAATATCAATATCATATCAATATCAATATCAATATCAATATCAATATCAATATCAATATCAATATCAATATCAATATCAATATCAATATCAATATCAATATCAATATCAATATCAATAATCAGTTATTTTCTTCAAGGTCAAATTAAACTGGCTGACTTTATGAATGTTTCATAGCGCTACATTTAAAATTGTTGTTCATTTTTGCGTGGGAGTTTAACCATCTGTAGATGTACGTTTCTACGTTTTCTACGCAGTCTAATATCTCAATTTAGAAGCTATCTAAATGAAACTTTGCAGTTAGTCTTCTATATACCCTCACATGTATATATGTATGTATATCGGAGCGGACCGAATCGGACCACTATATCATATAGATGACATTGGAACGATCGGAAATTAAAAAAAAAAATGTTATATATATTATTTTATTTTAAAATTCTTTTTTTTCAGCGCGGTATGAAGAGGTTAAAACAACGTTTTCATGCAGTGAGAGAGAGCGGGAGGCAAATAGTTGAAAACGGCAGTTCGTCAGCGCTGTTTTCAAGGCCTGTACAGAAACACGAAACTAAAAATACTAGAAAGTTGGTTAGTTTTTGCGAGCGGCTTGCAAAAAGGATACGAATTTTAATAAAATAGACTGTTTGCGACCACTTGCCTCTCGCTCTCACTGGTAGTTTCTTCTCATATTTTAAATTAGAGATCCCGCCATGAACAAAAGTACGGAAAAGATTAATTCAAAAGTTCAGAAGAGCTGATATAATTAAATTAATATAATATATTAATATAAATTAATTAGTAAAGGGAAATACAATATTTACAGGTTTATTGCATATACATACATATATTATTTTGTAGGGAGGAGGGAAACCTTGAAAAGAAATATATATATATAGAAAGATATAGGTCAGTAAGGAAAAATTGGGACAGATCCACAGCTCGACTTGCCGATCTGAGAGATCTCGATGGGTGGGCCAAGGTGGCACTAGTGCCTCCATGTTCTATCGTTAACCGGACGCCGATCCACACGTATCGAATCAACTGAGTTCCTTTTACAGGTATTTTAAAGGCTATAATATTAAGGAGTCTGGGAGCGCCTTAAGAGAGGCACTACAGCTAGAACGCATGTCAATTAATAATCAAAAATCAAGCAACAATAAAAAAACAAAATATGACCGGAACATTTGCCTTCTAAAAATGACGAAGAAGTAGTGAAAAGGGCGGTCACACCTCAAAAGAATAAACTTTTCGCGCTCGCAAACAGTTTTACCCTATCTATACCGTACTTTCCGTACAAAATAATATGATTGCCAAAATCCCAAAATATTGTATTTGCCTCTACCAAATTAATTATATGAACTGTATCAGCACTTCTGAATTTCTGTTTCCCGCACATTATTGTTCAAGGCGGGAACCATAATTTGAAACATGTAAAATGGAACATCCTGTTTATTTAATTTTCTAGTCTTTCTTGCACCCTCTTTGAAAATACTAAAAGTGTGCCGGCTTGAATCTCCTAACGCCATGCAACTTCTTAGTACTTTGATTTTACGTCTCCGTACAGGGCTTTAAACGGTGCTTACGAACAGCCGTTTTTAACTATATGCCTCTCGTTCTCTCTTACTGCTTAAAAACGGTGTGTTTCTCTTTCCGTTCCGTACTTCTAAAACAACTTTCGTTGTTTTACGTACGGTTTAGTATTAGATGCGTGATGCTTATATACGCTGAATAAACACTGAAATAACGCTATATCTTTAAATTGTTACAAAAGTTATGTATGAACAGATCACAAAAAAAGATAATAACCAAGTTTCAAAGCTTTGGCAAACGCTCTGTCTGGTTATAGATTTTATTAATTGGCATGCGCATAGAGAATGTCAAGCTTTGACAACACAGCTCTCTTATAAATAAAATGTATCCGATGTGTTATTTTCTCGGCATAAGTAGCTCGATATTAACTTATACACGAACGGCGTATTGTTTTGAATTACAACAATTTGTCCATATATTTTTGAATTTGTAGTTCATTGAAAAGGAAAACGAACTACCTTTTTACTACAGTATGAAGTTTCAGTACCGTTAATCGAAAATATCGTATATATTATGTTTTAAGAACTCGGGATGGTTACATTTCTCAATAATCTATTCGTTTGAGTATTTTCGGTAGCAGATTACAATAATGTCTATGTGTGCATTTTTTATATAAATTATACAAACATTAAATGTCGCAAAAAAAGGACATATAATAAATAAAATGTATGTGATTAGCATTGTATAGTAATTCTTCTCTATATATGTATGTACACACCGTACATATATTGAAATTTTTTTACAGAATAAGCTTTAGTAAAAAGCATTGTCATAATCCTAATTTTTTTTAGATTTAATAATACTATAATAACTATACAGAGTAAAAATCACATAAGCAAAAACAGCTAGATGTGCTTGCATAACCATGTTCGCTTTCTTACTTTTATTTTGACTTAGTATTTAAAGAAAACGCAAAATATTACTTTATTTTCAGATATGGCGAACATATTACTAATCGCTTGCCTGGCTATATTGGGTCTAATTATTGCAATCGCACTTTTCCTAGCTGGCGGATATTTGTGGTGGCGCCACAAAAGGTCGCAATTACAATTTATAGAGCCCAATGAAGATGAGGAGTCGAGTAGTTATAGCCTTAGGTAAGTGTTAATATACTAACATAAATATTACATATTCTTTCGGAGTTATATAGCCCTCATATGTCATGTTTTTACACTTGCACGGTGTTATAATTTTCTACCTTAAGGTATACATTCTAATGCATATATTCTTGATCAGCACCAACACTGGAGTCAATGTAGCCATGTTCGTCTGTCCGTTACTATTTAAACTAGTCTCTCACTTTTCGAGTTATATAAATGCAGATGACCTCTGGTAGATAGCTGGCCAAATTATAGCTCTGCCATTTAATAATATACTCATTGTTCACGTTATTGTAAAAAAAGTTAAAACGCTTTAAAAACAGTTGCTTTCAACCATTTTATTCTCGTTCTTTTTTATTGCTCCAACGCGCCTATTATATCACAAATTTTATCGTAATCTTTTTATAGGGCTGCACAGGACATTGTAGACTCTGGCAATCCTCCAAATAAGCCGCAAGTGCCGCCGGTGACTCAAGCTCTTACAACTCCTTTGCAAAATAACATAAACAGGAAATTAAATGGATTCTTGAATTTAAGAACTCCATTAATTGGGTTCGTATTTTGAACATTATTTTCAAAAAGTTGATAAAATAAACGAACAAAACAAATGTTTATTTTAACAAGTGGATCTGCGACCTCACAGACAAAATCACAAAATAGTTCAATGAGTGGAAACGCGGGAGAGGGAACAAAAGATGGAACTGTAAGTATACACCTACGCGATATGTATGTATGTATGTATTGGAAAATTAGCTCATAGACCATAATTATAATATTAATATTTTCAATAAATTGGTATATCTTTTAGAACAAAAGTATCTCAATGACCGACATGTACTTGGATAGCAACGATCCGAGCGAAAACGTTGGACAAATACATTTCTCATTGGAATATGATTTTCAAAATACAACATTAATATTGAAAGTTCTGCAAGGTAAGGAACTGCCAGCTAAAGATTTGAGCGGCACATCGGATCCGTATGTGCGCGTTACTTTGTTACCCGATAAAAAACATCGATTAGAAACAAAAATCAAACGCAGGACGTTAAACCCTAGATGGAATGAAACCTTTTACTTTGAGGGATTTCCAATACAAAAGTTACAATCTAGGGTAAGTGATGAAGTATAAATGTTGGGTAACTGTACCTATAATCCTTTATATACTATATTTTACTTATAATTTATCGTTATATCGGTTTAGGTTTTACATTTACATGTTTTCGATTACGATCGCTTCTCTAGAGATGATTCGATTGGCGAAGTATTTCTTCCCCTATGCCAGGTAATTTTATTGTTCTTAAAATATTATATCATATTATTACAAATTCGTATTTCAGGTTGATTTTGCTGGCAAACAATCATTTTGGAAGGCATTAAAGCCACCGGCAAAGGACAAATGTGGAGAACTTTTATCTTCATTATGTTACCATCCTTCCAACTCCATTTTGACCTTAACGTTGATCAAAGCGAGAAACTTAAAAGCTAAGGATATAAATGGAAAATCGGGTAAGAAATACAATTTTGACAACTGGTATTATTATATCTTACATTACGACCGAATGATTGAATTAGTTAACATTTCGACGATCTATTTAGTTGGATATGGTACGACTCAAAAAAGTCACTAGCAAAATTCGGTTATACATATAACGCAGGTCAACAAATTTTTAACAATCAGAACCAGGAACCGGAATATATTTTTGCTAAGGATTTCAAAGCCCTGAACTCAAATAACATAGTGCAAAAAAAATCGGGTTTTAGATTGATTTGAGGTATTGTAATTTTTATACGGTTTCATTTTGTAAAACAATCGGTAGTGCGTCTTGAAGTGTTACCCTGCAAAATCAGATTGCTCGTCGAGATATTGGTTGCGTTCAACAGCACCCTCAAAAACAGCTCGGGACATTATATAATATTATTTAAATAATCCAAACAATGGTTTTTGCCCAGACACCTGTTCAAATAATTTGGTACCTCTTAAAATAATTTGTTCTCTAATGTGGCGCATCGTACTCTTCAAAAGTCCGGTTGTCAATTTCATTTCGTCCACAGCCGTAATTACAGCACAGTTAATATTGAAATATATGTATTTATCTAAATTATTTATTTTCTTGCAGATCCGTATGTAAAAGTTTGGCTACAATTTGGCGATAAGCGAATGGAGAAAAGAAAAACGCCAATATTTACATGTACATTAAATCCAGTATTTAATGAGTCATTTAGTTTTAACGTTCCGTGGGAAAAAATAAGAGAATGTTCATTAGATGTTATGGTAATGGATTTCGATAACATTGGAAGGAACGAGTTAATAGGTCGAATATTATTAGCTGGTATGAAATTGCACATATATATATATATTTATACATGTATTATTTATCATAAAAAAATTTAATAGAGGTGGGAAAACATCTACTCTGCAGTACCATTCATCAGTAATTTATCAACGATTCATCAACAGTCAAGGCGGTTTTGTTGGTGATTCATCAATTAATGTCCATACAAATTACTAATGAATTTAACATGGGCATGTCCTAGGCTGTCATCAACAATTAATCAATGAATCTTCAACTAATTCAACTAATAATGCCGACAAGACTTCCTTCGTGGGCGGAGCGTCAACTCAGTAGAAGTCGCGTCGGCACGTTGATGACAGTGTCCTATTGATGACATGTGGTACTGCAGGGTATATATGTATAACTGTTGTACACCAGTGAAACCTCTGGTTGAGGCAGATTGTATTAGCAAAAAAAAAAAGAACACAACGGAAAAAAGGACAAGTTTTTTGTGCGTACTTGTAGGAGTTAATCCTTTCATTTTTATAGCTTTGCCGGGTATTATTATACCCTTGCAGGGTATTATAATTTCAGTCAGAAGTTTGCAACGCAGTGAAGGAGGCACCTCCGACCATAAAAAGTATATATATTCTTGATCAGGATCAACAGCCGAGTCGATCTAGCCATGTCCGTCTGTCCTTCTGTCTGTCTATCCGTTTCTACGCAAACTAGTCTCTCAGTTTTAAAGCAAAATGCATGAAACTTTGTAGTTAGCCACATATATACTCTCACTCGTATAGTATATGTCGGAACGGGCCAGATCGGACGACTATATCATATAGCTGCCATAGGAATGATCGGAACATTTGTATAAAAAAAATTTTAACATTTTCATTTTTCACCGGAATTTGATGAAATTAGTCAATTAAAAATAATAACTTTTTCAGTTTTCAACAGAATTTGATCAAATTTGAGGTATAGCCATTTTATATTAGTCTTAAATTTTGTGTCAAAATCAAAATAAAATGAAAATCGGACGACTCTATCATATAGGTGCCATACAAACGTTCGTTAGATATGGAGGAAAAATGCAAATCTGTGAATGTAAAACTGCAAATATAATATGTATAGGTGAATGAAATGAAAGCAGGTATTACTTCATTGTTTTTTAACATAAATATATATAATTTATATTGTATGGATTCATAGTCATAGAAGTTCTGTCTGCAAGGGTATATAAACTTCGGAGTGCCGAAATTAGCTTCCTTTTTTGTTATTTTATTCAAAAGTTTGGATTCGAGTTTTTGTTAGAGGGAGACACCTATAAACATTCTTGGATCGGACGACTGTATAATATAGACATTTTTAGAAAAATATTATAACTTTTTTAGTTTTAACATATTTTTTATTTAATTTGAGATAATGCAAATTTCGGGTTTTATTTTATGTAATCGGATTTTTATGTACATATATCATGCATGTAGCTGCCATTGGAGAAATCGAGAAATTATTAAAAGAAAAATATTTTAACTTCGCATTTTATACCCTCGCAGGGTATTATAATTTCAGTCAGAAGTTTGCAACGCAGTATCACCTTCGACCTTATAAAGTATATATATTGTTGATCAGCATCATCAGTCGATCTAGCCATGTCCGTCTGTCCGTTTCTGCGCAAATTAGTCTCTGAGTTTTGAAGCTATCTGAATGAATCTTTTTAGTTAGTCTTCTATATACTCTCCCTCACAGATGTGTCGGAACGGGCCGGATCAGACGACTATATCATACAGCTGCCATAGGAACGATCGGAACATTTTTACAATTTAAAATTATAACTTTTTCAATTCTCAACATCCATTTTATTTTATTTTACAAGCTTGTGTAAAATTTTATGAAACGATCGAGAAATTAATACAATTATAAATTACAACCTTTTCAATTTACATAAGATTTTCATCAATTTTGAGATACAGCTATTTTATATTATTCTAGAGTGTTGATTTTTACTTTATGTTTTAGTTTTGTTTTTTCCTCTATTAGATATGTATATATATTATATCTCTGTCTGTATCACTTATATAAATAGGTGTATGAAATGCAATCAGGCATTGCTTTTTTGTATTTTAACATAAATATATATCATTTATATTGTATTAATTCCTAGTGATCAAAGTTATAGTATATAAAATTCGGCGTGCTGAAGTTAGCTTCCTTTCTTGTTTCAAAATATTTTCTTCTACATAAAAATGTATCCTTTTTAATATTTCAGACTTTCAGATTTAATTTTATAAAAATCGGACGACTCGGCTTTTGTGGGGATGACCTCAGCGCCCCAGATATGCAGAGCCGTGCCTGCCGCTGGGTTCTCTCCACCTTTTTCACCCTCTCTAGCACATTGGGTTTCCATTTCAGCTTGCTGTCTAGTAAAGTGCCGAGGTATTTGACTTGTGTCTTCGGGGTCGGACTGGTTGTCTTGATCCATAGAGCTACCTCGTTTCTCTTGGTGAAGAGAAATAGGTCCGTATTGTCCGCGTTGATATTGAGTCCTACATTGTCGAACACTGAGTGTTGCTTCTATAATCGAGCTAAGGGTTGTTGGACAGACTCCCGTGATAATCATGCTTATGTCGTCAGCATAAGCTGTTATCTTCGGAACCTTCCTCGAACCTCCTAATTAGGTCGTCGACCACTAGATTCCATAGGAATGAAAGCGGTACCCGCCTACAACTTATCCAGAAGTTGATAGTGGGGTGCATGTTGGTCGGTTCTAGGCGGTACATTATTGCGTGCTTACGTTATTGAATGCCTCGGATATGTCTACAAAAACTCTGAACGAATATTCCTTATTGTTCAGCGCTTTGTCAACGTGGCTACTAACGAGTGCAGTGCCGTCTCCACCGATTTTCCTTTTGTGTAGACGTGCTGGTTGGTTGACAGTAATCTTCCCACATCGTTCATAGGTCCAGCAGTTTTTGATGTGAGGCTTATCGGCCTGAAATCCTTGGGGCTCTCTTGGCTGCGTTTTCCTGCTTTGGGCAGGAAGAAAATCCGACAGGTCCTCCGATGGATAGGAATATAGTTCATGGTTATGAGATGAGTATATTGCGTGTAGCCTTTGTGTGATCACTTTATTCACTTTTTTTCATCTGTAGTATGGCCGAGAATATTCAATTTAGTTCTGCTGCTTTTATCCCCGCAAAGGAGCCTATAGCCCAGTGTATTCTTCCAGAGGATAAGAAATCTTTTGAAGATGTTCCTCTCCAGTTACTAGGTCCTGATGCTCGTTGGCATCGGTGACCTCCGTGCACCCTGGGAAGTGAGGTTGCATTAGTGTTGTAAGGGCCTCTACACTGCCCTAGTCTACCGTCGGTTATCGAGTTTAAGCTGACTCTGTATGGTAGGTTGCTTCGACGGCTTCATTTAGGAAGCTTCAAAACTGAGAGACTAGTTTGCGTAGAAACGGACAGACGGTCAGACGGACAGAAGGACAGACCGACAGACGGACATGGCTAGATCGACTCGGCTGTTGATCCTGATCAAGAATATATATACTTTATATATATATACTTTATATGGTCGAAGATGACTCCTTCACTGCGTTGCAAACATCTAACTGAAATTATAATACCCTGCAAGGACATATTAACTTGAAATACATTTTTGAATTATCACAATAGATTGATAAGAGATAAATACTGTGTCGATATTAGAGTTCGGAAACAATTTATTCACAACATATACATTTTTTTCGATCTTTTAAAAGAAAAAGTCGACTTAATGAAAGACCATTTTTATACCCTTGCAGGGTATTATAATTTCCTTTTCTTCCCATCCCGTTTTTTTCCCCGCTTGAGTTTCTCTTGCTTTTGGCTGCAGCTAAGTGGTTCAAAGCTTTCGTTCTATTGTTTCTCTTGCTCTCTCTTTCTTACTCTCCAGCTCTCTCATTTTTTCGGATTTGATATAGTGCAGAGTGGTTCAAGGTTTTGTGAAAATGTCCTTAATTATTGTCTGCGCAATTGAGAACTGCGGAAAAGGTGATTCGGCTAAAGTTTTATTTACATTTCTTGTTCTATTGAAAACACATTTCGGCACTTCTAAGATCTATGCAGTTCCGTCATTTCTCCATCGCATCATAGTTTTATGAGGCGAAAATCAACCACTACTAATTTTTTGGAACTTACCTTAGGGGCTTTCAACGTAACTTTAGCAAAGCTTTTGACTCGGTAAATGATTCTCCACATTTAATGAAACTTGATTCCATAAGGTTTTTTTAAAGGTTTTATTTAAAAGCGTTCTATCTAACACCCTAAGTGTCACTTCTGGCGTCCCACAAGGTAGCCACCTTGGTATACTGCTATTCAAATTGCTTATCAATGACCTGACGTTGGTTCTAACAAAATCCAGAATACTCATGTATGCTGATGACGTTAAACTCTGCGTGCAGTATAGACATAGTTCCTGCCACTCAGACATACAATAGGATCTTAACAACTTTCAAGTGCGGTGCAATGCTACCTTATTACATCTCAACAGCTCTAACTCAAACTGATGGCATTTTTACGAGTTACTCTTGCCACTTTGCCACTTATATGCTTAACGACTTCTCTTTGAAAACAAAAAATCTTGTTGATGATCTAGGTGTCCGCCTAGATCCTAGGCGCACTGGGTCGAAAGGTAGTCGAAAAAAACTCTATTTTCCTTATGTAACTAAGACAGTTTTTACTTCGTTGTTTCGCCCTTTATAGGAGTATGGTTCTTGTCAGGAGTCCTCGATTCGGAGTCCATAGTAATCGCATTGATCCGGGGCTTAACCTTGAATTCTGACCGTCTTACTCTAGTAGACTTACCTTGCAGTTTTATATTCTAACGATCGTTTGTACGACAACTATATGATACAGTATTCCGCATTTCATAAAATGTAGCTTTAAAACTGAGAGACTAGTTTACGTAGAAACGGACAGACGGACATGGCTAGATCGACTCGGGTGTTGACGCTGATCAAGAATATATATACTTTATATGGTAGAAAATGTCTCCATCACAGCGATAAAAACTATTGGCTAAAATTTGAATACCCTGCAAGGGTATAAATATAATATGTAAAGATAAATGAAATAAAAGCAGGCATTTCGTCAATGTTTTTTAACATACATAATTATATATAATTTATATTGTATTAATTGCTAGGGATCGTATTTCAATCTTCAAGGGTATACATAGTTCGGCGTGCTGAAGCTTCCTTTCTATAAAGGAGTAACTACCAGATTTAAATTTTAAAAAATTTGGGGTTTTTAAAAAACTTTTTTTAATAGCCATGGGTCGGTGCCCATTATTGCAACTTAGAACAGAATTTAAACTTCTTGAAGTTGCTACAGCCGATCGTAGTTGGACCACCTCGCAATAACTGTAGCCACTATTTCTCTGAAGTGGATTATCATATATAAAAAGGAACCAGATTTCGCTAAAGTAATGTATGTATGTAATCTAAATATAACCTAATCGAAGGAAGAACTTACACTTATTCGTTAATAGGGGTTTCTTAAAAGAGCCGTAATATATTAAAATTTCAAAGCACTGCTTTGGAAAAACTTACTATTAAAGTTTTAAGAGCTCTCGACAACAATTGGTTTGACAGAATGATTTTATATTTAAATACAAGTAGATTTATTAAATATTATATAATTGAATATATATATATATATATATATATATATATATATATATATTTAAACTGTACGTAACCCATTAAAATATAAAAATTTATTAACTTACTGTTTAATTCAAATATAGGTAAAAACGGCTCTGGGGCTTCAGAAACCAAACATTGGCAGGATATGATCTCGAAGCCCAGACAAACTGTAGTACAATGGCATCGCTTAAAACCTGAATAACTTCTAATCTTAATATACCTTTAAATATATATATTATATCTGAGAAAGTTCGTACAACATGAATTGATTTATACTATCAAGCATAGCATTACTTATTAACAAAAACCTAAGGTAATTCCCCAATTCAGCACAACAGATAATTTAAATGTGTTAAATGATTAGAGAATATAGAAATAAATAAAATTTACGTAAGTTAAATTGTTCTCATAGAAAGTAATAGTTTTATACGTGGTTATTTAATATACAAATGTAGTTATTTTGTAAGGCATTAAGGGTTCCATGGAATCTTTCAAAATGTTCTCTATTTGCTGTATTTTATTGAGTTCATATTCTGTATTATTTACATCTAAAAAAAATTATAAATCGTCTATGAGCACTTACTTTATTTTTTAATTTAAAAAAATAATATTTGCATTTAGTATGTTACGAACAATATTTTTTAAGCAATTATTTTCTTTCTTTTTAAGCTTTCTTTAACAGCTTCTAATATCATAAAAATTTTCATTCGTGTCACTGAAAATTCATTGAAAGAACAGAACGTAATGTATATAACAATATTGATTGAAATTGTTTAAAATTAGATAAACTTATACACATAATACTGAATTTTCAGCATGAGAAAGACATTGTTACAAGTTATAAAAATGAATAAAAATTAACAATACAAAGTTCTATATTATATTCTTACATTATATAGTTTTATCATACATTATATCTTATGATATAGGTAATTACGTAGGTTAAATACTTTATTTTTATTAGAGAATGATTATTGCAATCAGCACAATAAAAAAATTATAAAAAACATTTGAAAAAAAAAAACTTAAAAAGTAACTATATAAAGAAGTTAGCCAACCATTGCCGGAATAAATAATAAAATTGAGAATGTAACGAGAAAGAATAATATATTTATAAATTGATAGCATTGAAAACTGAGTTTTAAAAACGAAAAAATCGAAAATACAACCCACCTTGAAAATTACATATTTGTTAAATATACCTGTTAAAAATATTATTAAAAATAATTTATAAAATATTCATATAGCTGCAAAATAAAAACATTTTAAACTTGATATATATTTTATTGAATCTTTTTCCCTTACAAATACCCAGGCGTATGAGATGCATAAAAATCTCAAAGACTGGACGACAAATTCAAAATTAAATCTTTGTAGACGGATGTCCACGTGGTGACGATGATAACCAAGATTGTACGCATGGCGACTAGTGTATATATGCATGCATTTAAAATTGCCAGGCAAAGGTTTTCGTTGATAAAAAAATTTTGGAAAACCTTCCTAAAAATTTATAAATTCACAAAATGCATTAAAACGGACCCAATATACATATGAACGCCTTGCTATCTTAGAATAAAGAAATTTAGCTAGAAGACAATCTGTAAGTTTAGACTTCAATCGCGGTACATACAATTACGATTCTACAATTGCCTATAAAGATTATCTGTCGTATGGCCGCATTGCAATGCAGTGACGTGTAGCGCTTGGATGCAAAAAATAGTGGCGCCAGCTAGAAGTTGTTGAACGAACTGCTAGCGAAGGCTTGGGGACGGTGGAGCGACACCTGGCGTGTGGCGCCTTCCAAACAGGGTAGCACGATTTCAAATTTCGCTCGAAGCAAACTTTTTCTTAATTATACCCTTGCAGGGTATTATAATTTCAGTCAGAAGTTTGCAACGCAGTGAAGGAGGCACCTCCAACCATATAAAGTATATATATTCTTGATCAGGATCAACAGCCGAGTCGATCTAGCCATGTCCGTCTGTCCGTCTGTCCGTTTCTACGCAAACTAGTCTCTCAGTTTTGAAGCTATCTGAATGAAACTTTGTAGTTAGCCTTCTATATACTCTCACTCGTATATATGTCGGAACGGGCCGGATCGGACGACTATATCATATAGCTGCCATAGGAATGATCGGAAAATTTTTACAAAAAAAAATGTAACATTTTCAGTTTTCAATAGAATTGGATCAAATTTGAGATATAGCCATTTTACTATACTTTACAATTTTGCATAAAATTTTATGAAAATCGGACTACTATATCATATAGCTCCCATAGGAACGATCGAGAAATTAATACAATTAAAAATTATAACTTTTTCGGTTTTCAACAAATTTTCATAAAATTTGAGGTATAGCCATTTTATATTAGTCTTTAAATTTTGTGTCAAATTTCATGAAAATCGGACGACTATATCATATAGGTGCCATACAAACGATCGTTTGATGTAGAGGAAAAATGCAAAACTGTGAATGTAAAACTGCAAATATAATATGTATAGGTGAATGAAATGAAAGCAGGTATTACTTCATTGTTTTTTAACACAAATATATATAATTTATATTGTGTGGATTCCTAGTCATAGAAGTTCTATCTGCAAGGGTATATAAACCTCGGCGTGCCGAAGTTAGCTTCCTTTCTTGTTTTTTTTTAATTTGTTAATTCAATGAATTTACTTTTAAAAATTTTTCTTTCAGTTTAAGATTGACCACCAAAATTAAAATAATTAATTAACTGTGGTTAAATAAGATAACAAGATCAGTCACTGAATCCCGCGCTTGCCACTACTGAACTTGGGAACATCCATAAGGCCATCCCTGCTCGACATAGTTTTCTATCCTGAATCGCTCACCGCAGGAAGCAAAGTCCGACTGGGCGGTTCTATCTCAAGTGCGGGGGACATTAGCGTCGGCAGACCATAAGAGGAGCGAATAATCTTAATAAAAAGTGGTTAGGAAATAGCCCAAGGCGGAGTGTCAACGATGTATTGTTTATATTGGCTAGTGAAAAATATGATCATTCATGAAGAGGGCCAAACTTACTTACAAACTTACTCGGTGGGGTATATGAATATTTTTCATCTACGCGAGAAAGCGCTTTCTTAAATTTCCCCATTTAATCAAAAGAAAAAAGAGACAAGAGAATGCTAGATCGAAAGAAAATTTAAAAAAAATATTTGTATAACTTAAAGCCAATTTCATAAAATATATTTATATTTTTATTTATTTATTTATATTTTAAATTATTTACTTTGTTTTAAAATGGGATCAGCATTGCTATCCCCTACCTTTTAAATAGTTTAAGTTTTAATATAAGTTTTATTGTGCATGTTTCATAATGGGTTAAAATCTCAAACTTGACCAAATGTTATTTTTTTTTTCAAATCGTAAGGAATAAAATTTTATAATGTGCTAAACAGCATCGCTTAATTTGCCTTCGGCTAGCTGGCCTCCCTTAGGGATGATCATGGTTCAGAAGGGGTCATCCGAAAATATTCAGTATGCAATGACCAAGAAAGCCAGGGCAAGGATTTTTGGGTGTGACATGAGCTTATTCCTACAGTGTTTAGCTTGCTCATTAATAATGCCTCCAATCAAGGGAACTTTAAAATCTATCGTGATGTCGACGTTACGGATGAACCACTCAGCACCAGTAATACTCCGCCGGAAGTTGTTTTGGAATACATGGACGCAAATCAGATTAGTTTTGGCGGCAATAGCAAAAACTTAAATGCCGTATCTTCAAGTGGGTGCAAGGATGGACGTGTAGATCCGGAATTATTAGCCAGGCTCAGGTGATTATTTGACTTCAGCAGCCAGTACAGCCTTCTGGCCGTATCCCCAATGAGCGCCTAACTGTACGTGTACTTGGCGAAGGTTAATCGGGTGTCTAAAGTATCCACCAGGTACTTATAATCTTAGACCTGCTCATGAAGCTCTCCATGCAGAAACAAACCTGGGCACTTATCGCTTCTGAGAGAGTGCGTCACAACAGCACAATGAAGCATATCAGTGGAGTCATAAACACAGTTGGATCTAGAAAGAATCGCAGTGGCCAGCATTGGATCCTGCTCTTGTCGCATGCATATCGTGGGTAAACAAGCTGTATAACGTCGGTCCCAGCACGCCTCCTTAGGGAACTCCAGCCGTAATTAACCTTTGAGGGGATAGGGCTCCATCCTAGACCACCCCGATTGTTGTCAGAGAGAAAACTCCTAACCATTTCGAATAGTTGCGGGGAAATTACCAGATTGAGTTTGCAAAATAGCCCTGCATGCCACACCCTATCAAACGTCTGCTGTATATCTAGATAGGCAGCCACCACGTATTGCTTACAGTAGAACCCTTCGCGTATATACTCAATCCCACGGTGCAACAGCTTAGGGGTGATGGATTATGTTGCGCCGCTGGCAAGGTAAAGTGGCCCAATTTGATGCATCCTCTGCATTTGCTTCTCTATGTGAGTTCCACCCAATTAACCCATTTTCTGTCGTATAAATAAAAATATAATTGAAAATGTTTGCTTAGCTTACGTACAGTTAGTTAAGCTTCACTTTGTATTTGGTTGTAATAAACTGCGCACAGCCCACAGATCCAACTCCAGCGAAAGCTGTCTTTAATTTATTGGTTACCTAGCCTTAAGGGCAAGCAACGGAGAGAAGTTCTCCCAACATATAACATGATGTACTCGCGAAGGGCATTCCAGTAGCAAGCGGAGGAGAAGATCTCCGCCAATCGCCCAACAGTGCAACCAGCCACGTCGGCGATTACGTCAACAACCCCCTCACGGACTGCTGCGAGGAACAACTTGGTTACACAATTAAAACATAATTTATAGATTGATGGTTCGGAAAAATGTTGATAATCATTTGTTGAGATGCCGCCGTTTGTTGCAACAGTATTGTATCGACGTGTATGTGAAAATAGAAATGGAGATTCTCAATTTTTTTTCGTTTCCATCAGTTGAAGTTACGATTAGACGATACATACACCTCCATACATCTTGTTTCTGAAGGACAAGCGGTCAATCTCGGTCGTTTGACCATTCTTCCAACTACTTATGTTGAAAGACTGGGCCATATGCATAAGTACGCTCAAGTTATCTGAATGGCAGAACGTAAAAGGTCCCCTTTCAGATTAATTTATCTAATGTTCTAAGGGTTACATCTGGCGTCCCGCAAGGATCCATTTGGGGCCCTTATTGTTTACATTATTTTTAAATGACCTCCCAAAGTCTTGACTAACTTCAGAGTGCTTATGTACGCGGATGACGTCAAGCTTTGCATGCAATACAAGGACGTCGCCTGCCAGTCGGATTTAAAAAGAGATCTCAAACTTTTGCCGTGTAAACTTATTAAACTTGAGCGGCTCTAAAGCAAGCTAATGACATTCTCTCGTGTCGTTCCTAAGCTTGCTAATTACACGCTGAACTGCTGCTCTGAGGAAAGAATTAATTCAGTTGATGATTTGGGCGTCCGCTTGGACCTAAAACTTGACTTTATTGATCATATTTCGTCTATTGTGAATAGAGCCAGGGGTGTGCTTGGATTTATTAAACGGTGGTCGAAGGAATTCAATGACCTCTATGTTACTAAATCCTTATATACCTCTTTAGTTCGTCCTATTTTAGAATATGGATGCTGCGATTGGAGCCCTCAGTAACAACGAATTCACGTCATAGAAAGAGAAACACATCAACAAAGTTTTCCCCGGCATTGGCCAAAATTACAACAAATTTTATTGGATAAGTGAACTAGCATGCTGACGGCGTGACCAACGCTGATAATGCCACCAACTATCGGACGGAATTTTTAAACTCGCTTGATGCGCCGCATAATTTACACCTGAGTGTTGGCTCAATCAAATACTTGCTACGGAATCTGAATCATCCGAAATTGTGCAATTATACGCGGTTTTCCTTCAATAAATAATGAACAATGTTATTCAAGAAACGGTCATCCAGGGCACAGTCAAAGGAGAGGACGTCTCAGGATTCCAATAATTCCAAACGGTTCTATTTAAATATAAGCGGATTTATTTTCCAGTTCGTTTGGCTTTAACGATGACAATCAATAAATCGAAAGGCCAATTGTTGGAAGTCTGTGGGATTAACATTAAATACCTCTGTTTTTCGTTATAAATTTTTTTTTTTGCTCCGGCAAGCAAATTAAAAAAGAAAGTAAGCTAACTTCGGCACGCCGAAGTTTATATACCCTTGGAGAAATTACTTCTATATATATTTATGTTAAAAAACGGTAAAGTAACATAATGTCTGCTTTCATTTTATTCACCTATACACATTATATTTTTAGTTTTTCACAGTTTTGACATTTTCCTCTATATCTAACGATCGTTTGCATGTCAGCTATAAAAATCTGTTAAAAACTGAAAAAGTTGTAATTTAATTGTATTCATTTCTATAAAATTTGATAAAAATCTGTTTAAAACGGAAAAAACGAATATGTATATGATGAAGTCGTTAAATCCAGTCAGTTCCGAGTGAGCGTATATTTGTTAGAAAACTTACTGCAAAGTTGCATTCAGATAGCTTAAAAACTAAGGAACTAGTTTGCGTAGAAACGGACAGAATGACAGACCGACGGACAGACGGACATGGCTAGATCGACTCGGATGTTAATGCTGATCAAGATATACTTTATATGTTCGGAGATGACTTCTTCACTGCGTTTCAAATTTCAAATCTAGTTTATTATATCGCTCTCAACTGATGCACATCAAATAAATTACATAGAAATTTGAATCATCTGCGTCCATTTTATATCTTAAGTTATATAAAACATTAATTAGAGGCGCGACCAAGTTCGCCGGGCTAGCTTGTAAGTTATGTATACATATCTGTAAAAATTACGTGCTAATTTCTACTAATAATTTTTGGCTAAAGTCGTGTCTTTGATTTTATATATGTATATCGAAACCCACTTAACTTTCAGTCTGAAATATTAAATTATATATATTCAGTTTAACAAATAAAGTAATACCTACTTTAATTACATTCACCTAAACTTACATATTATATTTACAGTTCTATAGTTTCAGTTTTTCATTCTCAGTTTTGCATTTTCCTCTAAATTTTACGATCGTTTCTACGGCAGCTATATAATATATTTCATAAAATAAAACCGAAATTCTGAAGAAAAAAAATAAAAAGTAGCTGTTTCCCAGATGAAATGAAAATATGCTGAAAACATTGAAGTTATAATTTTGTTGTATAATATATATATAATAATGTTGTATAAGTTATCAATTGATGATGAATTGGTCACTGATGACAGCCAAGGAAATGACCATGTTAATTTCTTCAGCAGTTTGCATGGAGCGTCATCAACGATTCATCAACAACACCGACGCTTATGTTGACGATTTATTAATAAACAGAGCAGTCACTACGAGGACTGCAGTCCACAGCAATGGATTCCTTCATATCGAGTAAATACTTTAGTTGGCTTGTGAAGACTTGCGCATTGTGAATATAAATGAGCTAAGAGAGATTTGCCAAAGGGCTCTCTCTTTATTTTGTACCATTATTCAGTCTTTGAGAGTGGTAAGGAGTATCCATTTTTAGAACGATTTTCTGTTCGGCTTGGGACCCTTTGCATTTCTTATGTGCGTATGTAGTATATCCATATACATGTGTGTTTGAATAATTCGGATTCTCATAGAAAATTACGCCGCTCAAAGAGACGGGAAAGCACAAATTTGCCAATTTTAAATTTAGTCTCTTGTTAGTCTTACGTTTGGCCTAACACACATGTTGTATCGGTGGTGTTCGAATATTTTTAAAATAAATCCAAATGTACATACATTACGTAGTATGCGTGCCTCGTAAATAATGAAATTTTTTAATATACATCTGCGTTGTATATAAATTATTAAGTATATGTTCAATATATATTTGATATTCGCCGACTTATTCAAACTACAGCTTAATAAAACTATGCTAAAATGATTTTTTGCATACTAAACACGCCACCGTACGTACACTACGCATATGTACATGTGTACATACATAGATATATTGTGTTAACATCTAAAAACCGATTGTGTAATGCTTAAATATAAAAAAGTATATTTGACTAGCCTGTGCCAAACTTTGTTTATTTGATTTCTTTGTAACGAATGCTAAATAATTATTCCCAGAATTGTATAACTTACAACTTAGTACCAAAGTTACTAAACAGAGGAAGTGCCCTCGGAGTACGGTCTTCATTGATTAGAAAACCTGTAAACCTCTAAAAATATTATTAAAGTTAAATTTGGTTTAGTTATTAAAAGCCCTAGTCCTATGTAACTTTCTATTGTTTCAAATAAAAAAATAATAATAATTTTTGATACAGTTTTTTTTCAGATAACTTTCAATAAATTCCTCTAAGCTATAAAAATAATATTTAAATTCAATGAACAACCTGCCTAAGGTAGTATGTTCATACCAGAAACTTTAAGAGGCTGTATGATCGAGACGGACGTTTCTTCTTATTTGCAATCATCATCAACGGGACAGGTAATCGCTCTATTTTATTTTTAAAAATTTAAATATTGCTTTCGATCCAATATGATTTCCGGAACTAGTTTTGAACACTAATAAACCTACAGTATAACTTTCTTGGTTATATATATATATGTATATGTATATATATATATATTATTTTGCAAGTTAATTCACGTACATTTAAACTTAAGCTTGCTATTAACATAAGAGAAATATTTTTTAAGCGGCAAAACGCCATATAAAAAAAGGTATCGAATTCATTATACCCTTGCGGGGTATTAAATTTCAGTCAGAAGTTTGCAACGCAGTGAAGGAGGCACCTCCGACCATATAAAGTATATTTACTCCTGATCAGCATCAACAGCCGATTCGATCTAGCCACGTCCGTCTGTCCGTTTCTAAGCAAAATAGTCTCTCAGTTTTAAAGCTATGAAACTTTGTAGTTAGTCTTCTATATACTCTCACTTGTAAATATAATTTGTAATTTGTAAATATAATTTGTATAGGTGACACTGGTTACCGAGTTGTATATAAATTCGGTCCTACATTCTTAAAGCGGATTTAACTTATGTTAGTACTAACTCAAACTTAATTTTGCTTTTATTAAATCAATGTTACAAATGAAGAATACAACGCAATTAAGCTTTTCCAATTTCGAGCTCTAGTCTCTTTGAATCGCCTATACAACATAAATATTTTTTATACCCTTGCAGGGTTTTATAATTTAAGTCACAAATTTGCAACGCAATGAAGGATTTATCACCGACCATATAAAGTATATACATATATTCTTGATCAGATTCAACAGCCGAGTCAATCTAGTCATGTCCGTCTGTCCGTTTCTACCCAAACTAGTCGCTTAGATTTTAAGCTATCTTTATGAAACTGTGCAGCCAAAGGAACTATTTTAACTCTTAAACTAACAACTATATAATAAGCATATAATTAAAAATTATAACCTTGTCAGTTTCATTACATTTGGGATATCGTCAAAGTCATAAGAATATTGTCAAATGTAGATGAAAATGGAAAATACACTTTAAATGTAAAACTGCAACTGTTAAACTGAATATATAATAAGTATACGTGACTGTAATGAGAGTAGTTCTTCTTTAATACAAATATAATAAATGTAATTTGTATATTATTAAAGATTGAATAGCAATCTGCAAGGGTATATAAACCCCGGCCGAAGTTAGTTTGCTTTCTGCATTATTATTAAAAAGAAGCACTATTTAACATAATAATCTATGGAACATACGCAGTTATCGAACAATCTGATAAAATTTTCAGTTGCATGTGCAATGATATGTATATATAAATAAACTCAAATCAAGATACAAAGCTGTTAACGTTATCACTCGTTAACTGTCATTTAAATTTGAACAAAAAGTTATTTATCATTTTTGGGATGCTTGTTGACTAATAATAATAATAGTCGTCCGATTTTCAGAAAATTAAAATCAAAATTCTAGAATAATACAAAATGGCTATATCTTAAATTTTATGCAAATCTGTTTAAAACTGAAAAGGATATAATTTTTAATTTTATTAATTTCTCGATCGTTCCTATTGGAGCTATATGATAACAAAATTCTTGATGCATTCTCATTGGTATATAAGGCGAACGGACCATATCAGTCGACTATATCAAATAGGAAATTTGTATGGAAAAAGCATAGGAAGTGTGTACTTATCTTGGTTTATGACTCAAAAAATAAAAATATAAATTCAATTATTAAATAAAGTATTTTTCTTTTATTTAGGATGAATTTCACCCATTTATTGAAGCTCTATTGCCGTATGTCAAATCATTTTCGTACTCTTGGTTCAATTTGCAAGCCGCCAAGCGAAAATATTATAAAAAGCATGAAAAACGGATGTCATTGGAAGAAGAACGACATTGCAAAGATGAACTACAGGTAAATCGGTATTTAAGCGATATCGATACTATTGGATTTTTTTTCATATCTTGATTTTGTTGTCATTTGATGACACGCAAAAAGCTTGAATGGTTTACTAATGTCATAAACTTACTTAGAAAAAAAATATTCAAGCGGCGCATTCTTTCTAACACCTTCATATTTACTTTCTTATAGAATGAAAAAACGGAGGTAAAACAAAAGTGGGCATCCCGTCTCCTTGGTAAACTACGCAAAGACATTACACAAGAAAGCCGCGAGGATTTTGTACAATCGATAATTGGAAAACGAAAATCGATATGTGTTCTCTCCAACCCGGATCAAAAGGGAAAAATGCGACGAATCGATTGCTTAAGGCAAGCCGACAAAGTTTGGAGACTCGATCTAGTAATGGTTATCCTTTTTAAGGCTATACCTTTGGAGAGTACTGATGGCGAGCGTTTGGAAAAGAATCCCGAATGCTTACATCCGGGATTGTGTGTTAATCCTTATCACATAAATGTCTCTGTGAGAGAATTGGATTTGTATTTGGCTAATTTTATCAATACTCATAGTTCAGCGACTTTCTCCTCAAGATCACCCCAGCTAAGCCTATATCATCGTAATAACAACGATTCAGTAAGCAGAAAAGACAACTTGAAAAATGAGAATATAAGTCAAAATCCATATAATGGCGTGGTTTGTAATGACATTATTTTAGCAACGGGAGTATTTTCTTCGCAAGAATTATGGACATTATCCAAAGGTAACTTTCATATGTTTTTTTTAACTTTAGATGGTAAATTCTAGTAATAAAACATTTATTAGACTTAATTCTGGAAGAACCGAACGATAATACCATTCAATCTAATCTCATTAAACGAGAGAATGTTGGAGCTAACTATGATTGCAATACATATCAAATGAGCTCAGAGGTCCAACCACAACATGGTCCAATTGTTACCAATCCAACAACAATTCCTGTCGGTTATAGTAGTAAGTATCACCAGATACCATAGTTAAAAGGGAAAGATATTTATTGTTTCCTTAGTTGACTTTATAGATCAAAGGACAAATGCACATTTATCGTCAAGTCCACTATTACGGGGAAATGTAACAAATGGAGGGGATGGACCTGAGACAAAAGTTGATCCAAGTATTTCACCGCCTATAATCGCTAGTAGTTCATCATCGGATAATGTCAACAGCAGCAGTTTTTCATTAATTTTGAGATCTTCAGAGAGTGTTCCAAAACTCAGCACAGATAATCCGGGATCAGCTATTACCTCATTGCATCGCTATACTTCGCTTAACAATAGGTCTATAGCTCAAGGTAAATATAAACTTTATAAATTATAAGATAGACACATTATCTTGTAAAAATGCTGTCAGAGAAAAACTTTACTGTTATTTTTCAGCCTTCCACTGAAAATACAGATAATTAGCATATTCAGAATTCTTCCAGTTGAGGCCAGCTAATCTAGGGATGTGAAAATTAAGATGAAAAGTCCGATACATCTAACAGAAAATCGGCTTATCATATATATTTCGCAGCGGTAAACATCAATTCGATACAAAGTCGATATATAGACCATTTTTCAAAAAATCTTAATGACTTTGTTCTTATTTTAACGCAATTCTTACTTAGCCACCTTTTATCATTACAAAATTAAATTCATTTATTTTTCCTACTATAACATTATTCAAATTTAATTTAATTTTCAGCTCTACCTCAACACAATTGTTCTTCATTGCTACCAACATCTACAAGTCCGATCAGTACTTTGTATTACTCACAACCCAATAATTCGCGATTACCTATATGCACTACTTCGTCTGATGATAAATTTTCCTCTTCGGAAAGCCATGATATTTCTGATTTTGTGACTTATGTTTGCCAGGATACGAGCCATCCGACAACAACTTCGGGGCAGTGGAAAGTCATCCTTCCTTCCAACACTCACATTCAGTTCCACATTCGCTTCCCCCCACACACACTCTTCCGTTTCCTCGTCCCAAAGCCACTCACATTCACCTCAATTTCACATTCATGCGAAATCAAGTCATCATTATCATAGCACTATGTTGCCGCCAATGTTGCCGCCAATGGCTAGACCTGTTGCCATCATCCGATCAAGTGGTGATCAGCTGACACTAGTGCAGTCCAGCCCCCCACCCTCTCCATTAATTCTGACCAATCAATCGACGAGCGCGGTAAAAAGCAATTTAGGAACGGATGATAATAATAGAGGAGCTACGACGGACATTATGGAAAACGAGAATCAAGAAATATCCGTAGCTAGTACATCTCCTCAATCCCAAGCTCAATCACAAACACAAGCTGAACCCAGGGACTGTCCACAAACGTATTTAGATCCTAGTACACGATGCAAACTATTATCATCGCCAGTTACTGGAGCAAATACCATAAGCCGTATAGCCGCCACGCAAATGTATTCTTCTCCGAATAATCGAGATTATTTTAATCATTTTCATTCGCAACCCACATCGGTGAGTGAATTCAATTTTTTACATTAAAATATATTTAAGCTAGAAAAACTTCAATGTTGGATAAATAGTGTTTTATTCCCGTTATAAGGGTGACAAAATATCGATGCAAACATTGGAGCATATATGAATGTTTGTTAATATATTCCTAATCAATTCATGTATATATTTATAAAAAATAATTAAAACATTTTTTTCAACTCATCAGAATCAAGAAAGGAACCTAACTTCTGCACCGAAGTTTGTTGCCCCTTCCAGATTGCAATTTGATCATTAATAATTAATACAATAGAAATGATATATAATTGTGTTAAAAAATAACGAAGGAATTCCTACATTCATTATATTCACCTATTCATATTATTAAACAGTTTTATTGTTAGAGTTTTACATTCAAACTCTGTAATATATTTAATTATCGTTTGTTTCTCGATTTTCATAAAATTGAAACCTAAATTGTAGAATAATATGAGAAGGTTACTTCTCAAATTTGATGAAAATATTTTAAAAATTGGAATAGCAATAATTTTTTTCCGTAAAATTTTTTAATTCTATGGCAGCTACATGATAAATTCGTCCGATCCGACCCGTTCGAGCTTCTGGTAGTTTTAAATTGAGGGAATAGTTTGCGTAGAAACGGACGAACATGGCTAGATCGACTCGGCTGTTAATGGTGATCCAGAATATACCTATATACTTTATATGGTCGGAGATGACTCCTTCACTGCGTTGCAAACTTCTGACTAAACTTATAACACCTTGCAAGGGTATTACAACATTAATTTGTGGAAAAAATAACAGAAGCAGAAAAAAGGTTTTTATTCATAGAAAAATATTTCCAAAAGTAAAAAGAAAATTCAAAAACGAAAAATAATGAGTCTGATCCTGCACATCCTGCGATATTATCGATGTTTCCAAAAACTTTTCAACATCGATTTTCACTTTCTTAATAAATACCGAGCAAAAATGTGCAGATTTTGTACATTTCTAAATTAAATAGTGTTTTGTATTAATAATAAAGTGTTTGTATCATCGATGGACATGCAGTGACTCTCTCTGCTCTTTTCGTTTGAAGAAATTAAGATTCTTGTTGCGCCGGAATGCCGATCAGGCAGCAGTTGCATGGGAGTCCTGAGATTTAAACTAGTCGGATCACTCGAACGACGAGCAGCTAAAACCCCTTTAAAAGTTCCTGAAAAACGTCTACTTTTATAAATGAAAACGTATCTGTTAAAGTGAAGTCTTCCACAGAAAATTCCATTATCAGCTCTAGGTATTACTTAGAGGCCCAGAATCCTTCTGAAAATAGGGATACTTTATTATTCTATATGATTAGTATAATAATATTTGACCGTAAAAAGATATATTTTAGATGAGTCCTGCAAGGAAGTATTAATGGTTGCGTTCAGCGAATAACATGATCACATGTCTTTTATTTATTGTTACTTTTCATACATATGTATGTACATATAATTCATTTTGTTTCTGAGACCTTTGCTAAAAAATATTAACAACGATTTTTGTTTCACAAGTAAGTAGGTTTTTAATGGGCATTTTCACGTGCAACGTACATACGAACGTACGACTTAAATTATCATTTACGGTATTGCTAACAAGAAAGGAAGCTAACTTCGGCACGCCGAAATTATATACTCTTGCAGATAGAACTTCGACGATATAAATTATATATATTTATTTTAAAAATCAATAAAGTAATACCTGCTTTCATTTCATTCACCTATTCATATTATATTTATAGTTTTACATTCACAGAGTTGCACTATTCCTCTATTATTCAGAATTTCATAAAAGTGTACACAAAATTGTACAATAATATAAAATGGCTATATCTCAAATTCTGTTGAAAACTGAAAATGTTATAATTTTTTTGTGTAAAAATTTTCCGTTCGTTCCTATGGCAGGTATATGAAACAGTTGTCCGACGTTCATAAAATTTCCCATCAAATTGTAGAAAAATATAAAATGGCGATGTTCCAAATTTGATTAAAATCTGTTGAAAACTGAATAAATTTTTCGATTGTTCGTATGGCAGCCATATGATATAGTCGTCCGATCCGGCCCGTTCCGACATCTAAACGAGTACGAGTATATCGAAGACTATATACAAAGTTTCATTCAGATAGCTTCAAAACTGAGAGACTAATTTGCGTAGAAACGGGCAGACGGACATGACTAGATCGACTATTCTGCTGATCCTGATCAAGAATATATGAATATACTTTATATAACTATCACTGCGTTGCAAACTTCTAACTGAAATTATAATACCCTGCAAGGGTATAAAAAGCACTGCATCGCGAACGCTACAAAAAAAGTCTTGTTTGAGTTTGCGAAATGTGGCGAGTAATTTAATAGATACAACTTTTAATCAAAAATAAAAAAATTTAGTTTTTCATTAACATTAGTTATACTTAATATTATTATTCCCTATTTATAACGGTACATCGCAAACGCTTCCATTAGGATTTTTGATAAAAAAAATTCAATGAAGTTTTATGAAGAGAAACTAGTACAAATAAAAGTAATAAATGACACATGTTTTTAAAAGAAAATATATTATTGGTACACAAAAAACAATTTTTTTAATCAAGAATATTTGGCTTGTGGTGCCTTAAAATTTTCAAGTACGATTCGAGTTGAATGGTCAAATTAAGCTCGTATCGGGATTAAAATGAACTTAAATCTCGCTAATGTGATCGCGAACGAGACACAAAAACCTTAGGTGATAGAAACTAAAAAATAGCGTTTAGTCAATGCATTGCTTATCTGTCTTTATAGTTTCTTGTTAATTTATTGTTGGTAAAAATATCTGGATACAAGAATATAATCTAAAAACGAATGTAAAATATATACGAACAAAAGGCAAAGCCAGCACTCAAAGGAAAAATCACGTCTGTCAGTTTCGGTTCATATATTTTAAAATAAAAACACATATTTATACATTTCTTAAGCAATATACATTAAAGTAACAAAAGTTTATAGACATTCCATTTTAGCATCTTGGTAGACGATTTCTGGAAATACACATATTCATAAAATCATTTACCTATGTTTTAGTAACAATTATAAGAAAATATTTTTATAATATATTTTGATTTATTCATAAAATATTAATAGTATTTGATTTTTATAATATTTATTTATTTTCGTAAGCTTTTGGGCTATGCGGGAACTATTTCTACAATGTCTGGCGTCATAAGTCCCACAAATTTGAGCCTGTACTCAGCTGCAATGCCTATTTCGCGTCCAAATACAAGGGCACGATGGAACGACGAGGAGCTCAACGCAATTCCACACTCAATAACTAGTACAAACATAGAAAATACTCAAGTTATATTAATGGAGGATTGTAAGTGCTTAATTCCACATTAATAAAACTAATTAAATTTATATTGAAAAAATCGTTACAGCTTCTGGACGTTATATTGATGATTATTCAAATCGTGACTATGTGTCATAATCGGTTAAGAAAAATAATATACACAATGTGTTCGTAATAATAATTTTTAACTTCGTCAGGCAGAAACACATTTACAAAATGGGAAAAATACTATAAGAACAAGTACCTTAAATACATATATAAAGACATCAAAGGCACATTGAATTAAACTCTAAAAGCTGGCATAAGCAGAATATTATTATACAAATAATTTAACCATAGAAAAGAAAATATTTATACGAAAAACGATCTCAACTCAAAAAATTTGCAATAAATATTAATCGATAACCCCTTAAACTCTATAAGTAAATTATAATTTTTAAGCAATTGCGATTATTAATTTATTGAAATTAAACTAATACGTCCATTATAATCGATATTATAATGGTCTGTAGCAATCAGAGCAACTTAGACTTGAAATGACTATTAGAATGATAATAAATACGACAATTTTATGACAATAGTAGATAGTAGTAACATAAAAATATATCAATATGTAGAAACACAATGACTGCAATTAGCTATAATAATTGCTTAATACTATTGCACAATATATTTAAATATTTTTTTATGAAATAATAGAATTTTAAATATCTCAAATTAAAGGCATCTAAAGATTTTATTGAGTTAAAATAGTAGTGTACTCAATTTGGTCATTTAATTGAGTTTGCCTCTAATTTTTAACATGGTTCAAATAATGTCTGATTCAAACAACTTAAGAATAGATTAATAAACAAAGATGCCACAGAAATTGCACATTGATTTGGAAACCCGTATGAAGGTTGCTCTGAAAGTATGCAATAAAAATAATATACAAAAATGTCCGGTCACAAACTTTTTGTAACATATTTATGTACAACGATTTAAATGGGTTTTCAAACCACTGCAATTTTGAACAAATGATCAACTTAAGAACAATACGCCCTAGTTTCAATTGTATTATATTGTTAATACATTTTGTTTTTAGAAAATTACAAAAAAAAAAAAACGAATTTGCAGTCATATATCGACGGAAAAGTATGGAATGTTTATAAGGGAGTTTGAAACAAGTTTAAAATGTCTTAAGGTACACAAAAAATGTTGAAAGTATCAAATTTAGTGTACTTTTTTTTTAAAATAACATTTTATAGCATATTATTGGCATATTTTCAAACGCCTAATAATAATTTATTATTATTTCCAGGTAAATTTCTTATTTTATGCAATAATGAATTCTAGAATAAGAACAAAATATGAAATCTATAAGATTTTAGTACAATAATTAGTCTTAAGTGGTAAACAAAAATCTAAACCGTTTTAAGAATTGGCTGTGAATATATATCTAACGCTTACGTAATTAAGTGATGTTTCAGTGCTTATTAATATTTATTATATATTAAATTGTATTTATAAATTCATATATATATATATATATATATATGTATATGGGTCAATCATTTTCTCTCCAAAGATGATTTCTGTTTGGGCATTGAAATAAAACAAAAATTGAAACATCTTAATGATTGCAAAAGGAGTGACTCAAATATATATTTATAACAAAAATATAGACTGTAAACAAAAGGAGACTTGCTAAATATAATTTAAGAGCATATTTTTCTAAAATAAACACACTGCATACTTGTATTGATAAATTACTAATGCCTTATAAGTGTCATCCACCATCACTTTTAAGGATGATCCAAATGGTTTTCAATTTCCACATATTTCAGAAAGTTTGCTAGTTTGCGATGGTCGTGCAATTCTTAATCTTCTTCTTCACATTTATGAAATCACTGCAAAAACATTAATGAAGATTTTTGACATCTTTACCATTAATATATAGAAGGCGTCACGGCTTCAAGTTTGTAAAAAAAAGAATGATAATGAATAATTTCGAATTTAATTTTAACATATGGATATCGAAAAAAATCAGACATATTCAATTCAATTTGTTTTTCTTTATTTATTATATGTAAAAAGTTAAAAGTTTTTGTTATTTAATATATTATGAACCAACAATATAGATATTTTATTCGATTTTAAAATATTGTTGATATTGTTAAAATATTTTAAATTAATATTATATGTATAAATGTTTTGTTTCTGTGGGTTTTCATTTTCATTTCAGCCACATGGATCGATTCTTTATGATCCAATTGCAAATGATCCAATTTGCAAACCGAAAGGTATACAAAAATCGTCGAACCTAAGCCGCCAGCTTTCGTTATTGTTAAATTAAGAACATTTCTTTTGACAATTATTGTTAAAAACAAGATTTAGCCTTTTTGGTAAAGTTCGATAAATCACAGGAAGTATAATTTTATGGAGTATACATTGCAATGCTATATATACAAATAAATTGTGGCCAAATTTGACAAATTGAATTAAACATTGTTGTTTCTAATAATTGATAAATACAATTAATAGATTTAAAAAAAAATCTAAATTAAATTTACATTTAAACAAACACGGAATATGTATGTATATATGATTTAGAGGTGGAGATAGTCAGCGCCATCGATAGCCAGCGATTGTTTTTCTCAAACCCTTGATAGTGTCGATAGTGCCATCGATAGTCACCGATAATATCGTCCGACATTAACTTTTTTTTTTAAGTTTGTTTTAACCATAAGTTTTTATTTAAAAATAAGAGAGTGTTAATATTTTCCTCTTTGAGACGGGTGCGTGCCTTAGAAACAATTGGCCCCGCCTTGTTGAACGCTCATTCCGATTCTACGGATGTAGCAGGAATGCAAAGGCATTTGCAAAAAAGGGAAAATAAGTTTGATTAACCTAGAATAAAAGTAATATTTGTAAATCACTTCCGATTTTGCGGAAAAGTCATATGTCATGGGTATAATTAGTGATATGGGTACATACTTTCCACCAGAAAAAAAAATCATCGTGTTTTCCTTACCCCAAAATGTTCAGAATTTCTCCTATTTAATATAAAACGACTACTTAAAATTTACTTTTAATACATTTTGAGACTCATTTGAGAAATTGCAATACCTACCTATCTAATTCATTTTAATTTAGGGCCAATAAAATCCGTTGCAATGTATGGTGTTTCTGTTTTTGACCAGCTAAAAAAGCCACACGCAAAAGTCACATCAACCATTAATATTTTTGTTGAAAATAATTTACAGCTGTTCGAACAGTTTTACATTTGAAAATCCCAACCGTTTTACGCGGATGGACTGTGGGAGAAGACAGTATAAAATGGAAAAAGGTAATTTCCAAAGTAAAAATTTATATTGATGGGTAACGTTCCATTTGACACATGGAAAGTATCGTAGACTGATATATTTAAATATAAAAAACTGAATAATTTCGAATTTAATTTTAACATATGGATATCGAAAAAAATCAGTCAAATTCAATTCAATTTGTTTTTCTTTATTTATTATATGTATAAAGTTGAAAGTTTTTGTTATTTAATATATTATGAACCAACAATATAGATATTTTATTCGATTTTAAAATATTGTTGATATTGTTAAAACATTTTAAATTAATATCATATGTATAAAAGTTTTGTTTCTGTTGGTTTTCATTTTCATTTTAGCCACATGGATCGATTCTTCATGATCCAATTGCAAATGATCCAATTTGCAAACCGTAAGGTATACAAAAATCGTCGAACCTAAGCCGCCAGCTTTCGTTATTGTTAAATTAAGAACATTTCTTTTGACAATTATTGTTAAAAACAAGATTTAGCCTTTTGGTAAAGTTCGATAAATCACAGAAAGTATAATTTTATGGAGTATACATCGCAATGCTAAATATATAAATAAAATGTGGCCAAATTTGACAAATTGAATTAAACATGGTTGTTTCTAATAATTGATAAATACAATTAATTGATTTAAAATAAATCTCCTAAATTAAATTTACATTTAAACAAACACGGAATATGTATGTATGTATATATGATTTAGAGGTGGAGATAGTCAGCGCCATCGATAGCCAGCGATTGTTTTTCTCAAACCCTTGATAGTGTCGATAGTGCCATCGATAGTCATCGATAACATCGTTCGACATTAACATTTTTTTTTAAGTTTGTTTTAACCATAAGTTTTTATTTAAAAATAAAAGAGTGTTAATATTTTCCTCTTTGAGGCGGGTGCGTGTCTTAGAAACAATTGACCCCGCCTTGTTGAACGCCCATTCCGATTCTACGGATGTAGCAGGAATGCAAAGGCATTTGCAAAAAAGGGAAAATAAGTTTGATTAACCTAGAATAAAAGTAATATTTGTGAAACACTTCCGATTTTGCGGAAAAGTCATATGTCATGGGTATAAATAGTGATATGGGTACATACTTCCCACCAGAAATTTTTTCACTTGCAGTAAATGACTGAGGTGCATTTTTGGTTCATAATAGGACTTTGGCAATGTCTTCAATTGTTTTTAAAATTCTCTCAATCATGAAAAAGAAATTGTTTCATCTCGTTGGTGTTTCTTGCAGCAAAGTATAAGTCGTGCCTTCTGGTGCTAATTTACATTTTTCGTTAGCAATCGTGGTTTGTTTAAAAAATCGAACTATTGATTTGCACTTAGTAAACAAATCTCTTATGACTGCGTCATCAACTTTTAATGCATCTTGCACAACTAAGTTGATTGTGTGCGCAAAGCATGGCAGATTTAGAATTTGCAACATTTCACATGCTTTAAGCATGGAGCATTATCAGTTACAATGCACACCGTCTTAGTTAAAATGTTCCAATCTATTAAAATATTTCGCAAAGTATCTGCAATGTCTTGCAAACAGTGATTTGTTACGTTTCACAGTTTTTTTTGTAGCCTAGGATTCTGTTTTTAATTCATAGTTATAAACAAAATGACACGTCGTTGTCAAAAAACTGGCATTGGCACTCGATGTCCACAAATCACATGTTATTGATACATCCTACACTGCTTTCAATATTAATGACATTTTGGCAGAGGTTTCCTTGCAATTTATAACGAGGATCCAATACCTGAGTGTATTTAATAAAACCTTCGTTTTCGACAATGCTGTACGGCTGTACATCATTAGCAACCATTTCTGTTAATGCTTTGTCGATGTCGGCCTTTCGCTTGGAATTCGACTCGTACAAGACAGCTCTTTTGAAGTAGGAAACCAAAGAGTTCATACTTGATCTGCAACTGCTGCTAGAGTCCGGTTAATTTATTTCCAAGCTAGGATGAAACCTTTTCAAATGGTAGCGTAAGTTTGACGTATCTTTTTTGAGTTACTTTGCTTATTGGGTACAAAATCCTTTTCAGAGTCTGTGCTGGTGCAATCGCAGTCTTGCTTGTCTGGACTTGGCGCAGTAGGTGTTGCGGGCCAACGACGTGTACCTTAAATTCGACACATTATCAAACAAAATACTTATGCAGAATACATTAAACATACCTTTTTTAAAAAGCGTTCCATATTTGTCAGTTCTTTTTTAATTGCCGTCATTTAATTTACAAGTTTACTCAAGCGCGAGTTGAATTATTTTAGCGATATGAGACGCCAGCTATCGATGGCTCCATCGATAATGGTTGGACCACAATCGAGCTTGTCTGATACAATCGATTGCGCCTCGATATCGCCCAACCCTCGATAGTGTCGATAGCGCCATTAATAGTTCTCCACCTCTAATATGATTATGAATATTTTTATGTTTGGGAACAAAAACATATATATTACTGTGGGTTTTTTCTGAGCCCTGAGCTTTACTAAACGTTCCTTCGGAAGCCGGTGAGGGTGCTAGAATGCATCCAATTAATTGGGTTTGTTTGCTTGTTTCTCATTGCAGAAAAGATTAATTTTTCGAAATATATAACTTTTCCCAGCGTATTGTAGATTAAAATATTTATCGAAACAATCGATGTTCTGTCGATGTTTTTTACAACCATTGGCTAACATATAATAAATTACAATTAACTTGACTAATCTTTAATTCGTAGGAATCCTTATAAAACGAGTCTTTTTAAATTATTTAAAATATATTCTTTTTGTTCCGGAGACATGCGTTATATATACAAAGTTGTGCAATAACAACGGCGATATATGATGGTTGCGTTTAGCAGAACAATATGATCAAGTTTTTTCTGCTGATCGCTCATGATACATTATGCCGTTATAAAATAGTCGGAAGAAACCTATCGTTATCGTCTGGATTCCGGCCAACATTGATTTGATTTGGCTTATAAGTTAACTGGTTTGTTAATCCTTAGATTGACGAAGAAATTGTTTTAAATACATATGTCTGCATCATAAAATAATGTGTTACTTCATGTGGAACATCTTTCCTTAAAAATTTCTTCATCTATTTCCGCACTTCTCATTGCACTCGTAGCTACAGAACACTAAATAATAAATATATAAATAATTAATAACTTATTAGAAACACCTAATTATTTTGATTACATGACAAATAATTTATATTTTCTTTGGTGTAGAGAGAAGTGCTCTTTCATTATTATTCTTTTCGGTCTTTTAACCATCGAAAAAGCAATTAGTATCGCAAAAAGGTAGCATACTAATTTTACGCTCTTACGTTGAATGGAAGAAATATGGCTTCATGATCAGGGATTATACGTATTTAGCAAAACAGTGATCATGTTGTTCTGATAAAGGTAACCAATGTCTCGAGTGATGGCGGTATTGGAAAACCCGTTAAACATTGTCATAAAATTTGGTAGCTTAAGGTCATATAATCTATTAGATTATTCCCTATACGAGTAAATAACAGAATTACTAAGAAAAATAGCGGCAACAAACAAAAACTGTTCGAATACAAATTAGTTATATTATCAGTCGTTCAGCTACACTGAGTCGGTTTTCTTCATGTAATTAAAATGCAAAATATGAAAATTTAATCCCCCTATTTAAAATTGTTGTTCA